CTAATTGAATCTAAAGCTGGGCAATGTTTTGTGTTCTTTTGGCACACAGCCAGTGAAGGGGAGATGATGAATTAACATTGCTGAAATTCAAATCAATAAGACTAGTTTTGCAGTGTTTTTAAAGCAGTTTAGCCCACAACTGAATTCTCCTTACACCCTGTTTATTGCCAAACATACAATTCTCTGTCAAGTGTGTAGTCTCTGATTTACTTTTTTCAACACAACGGATACATTTCAAGAGATGACTGCATCTATATCAGATGCACAGGATGGATGGAGGGAAAGCTATAGTCTGTCTCCTGCAATAAATACACAAAGACAGCTCCATGGCTATGGGGAATTATTGAGGTGTGGAAAGAGGATACTATTAGAGAGTTTGTGTGTAATAAAGATGACAGGCTGTTCAAAAGCAGGTCATCCCGCACTCAGGCATTTAACACAATTTTGGTATTTTTTGATTCCTTAATTGCAGACAAAGTACAAAGTTACTTTGCTTCAGTTGCTCTCTCCTTCCTTATGTTTTCTATTGAAATCAATTAAACCAAAGTCAACTGCTGCATTTCAGTTCAACTACTTATACTATGCCAAAAAAGTGCATACTCTTTTGGTGAAGAAAATGAACATTTTAGAGTGTATAGCAGAAGAGTACACAATTTTCGGGACATGCTACCACATCAGATTTGTGTCATTAATGGACCACTCTGTTGCATAGTTACATGGCCAGTCAAACAACTTATCACAGTTAATATCCTCTTATACACACTCCAGATTTCAGTTCATTTAATTTACTCAAGTCAACTATTCTTACCAGATTGAACAGAAAAAACCAGCATGTTGATCTGCCAGTTGGGGGTCCTCCATGTGAAGAACTTTCCTTGTGTTTTTGCATAGTAATCCATTTGAAAGTTAATGGCTCAGCTATCTTTATAAAAGTTCACAATATTTTTGCAGATGCAATTTTTTATCAAGTTAGATATTATTCATCACTAAATCTGGTTCACCTAAAACTCTCTCTTAACCACTGGTCTCCCACATCTGCCCTGTTTGTGGTTTTTATGTTTGTGTTTGTAGTTCTCAACCGAATCGTCCAATTTTCCAAAGTACAGTGGATTGTGGGCAATATTTGCCACTAGAGCTATCTGCACTTCGAATTTCCACCGAAAATAGTAGACCATCTGGGTATTTCTGGGATATTAATTTCAACATTATTTGGGAAAAACTCATTCTAATTTTGAAATTGCCTTGAGATAGCCTTGAATAATGCCTATAACCACAGCGAAGGATAACTATAGATTTTGAATTGCACATTTATTTTTTATTATAAACTGTTTTGGCAAACTCCAGGGTTTTTTTATCCACTCTGACTTCCCAAAACCAGATAATAATAAATACAAAAAATCAATTTCTCATAAGCATTTTTCAAAGGTTGACAGCCCTACCTTTTTTCAAAGGTTGACAGCCCATTTTTCAAAGGTTGACAGCCCAAAACATTATCAGATCCACAGCAATATATGTGTGCCCCATGTCATATGTACAATACTGTGCAAAAGTGTAGCCACTTATGAAATAATGCCATTATTTATTTTATATTTCTATTAAGTTGCTATGAACTAATCAAATCAATATTTGGAGTGATAAACTTTGCCTTTCACTGCTTTTTACACAAGGAATTTGCAAAAGGAACATTTGGTAAACTAAAAACTCTCAACTGACACTTAGTGTAGACTTAGTGACACTTATCAGAAGAAAATAAATATTTTTTGAGAAACTTTTAGACAGTATTGTATGTCAGTGACACTGTAGAAAGCAGTGACTGCAGTACTGTTCATTCTATCCAACGCACCTGCTGTCAGACTTTGTTTGCAAGTCCTAAAAATTTTAGACAGTCCACTTCATTGTAGAAACCAGTTGTTACTCTGACAACTAACTGAATTCTGTGCGAACACAACCATATTTAGCTCTCTAAAACAGGACTGACAAGTGTTTTCTGCTGCTGTGTAAAAGCAGCCTGAATTCTGCTTTTACAGAATACTGTATATATATATATATATATATTTCTTTTTTTCTTCACAAATTCCGACTGTCTCTCAGTATCTCAGGCATCTTTTCCACCACAGCCAACAAATTTGACAAAAAAAGATAAAATTGTAGTTTACTTAAATATCTTAAGAGCTTGTTTGAGGTGAAATATGAGAAAATAATGGAAAAAACACAGTAAAAATCACTTTTGAATCAATCTGTGATTGTACAATTATAATTGTAGAATTTAATTGGGTATATTTAGGGAAACCTGAAAGCTAACCATGAAATTAGCCTTAGCAAGAAAAAAAAGAATCAGCCACTTTATCCCACAAATATTTCAAATGTCCAACACAAAATGTTATAAAATGCAACACGTAATTTAAGATGAGATAGAAATGATGCAAGTGTTTTCACTGTATGACACTGTTGGGGATCAATTAAATAAATAAATGTGTTTTAAAAGTTAAAGAGATTATTTTCAGAAAAACCATGGCCAGTAGGTAAAGAAAGCCCCACCTCTAGGGTTGCATGATGGATACTTTAGCAATAAATGCAGAATGGAAGTCTCTGGTTGTGTTCCATTAACGCTTGCAATCTGCACCGACAAGCCTAATCTGCTACACTGACATATAAGACACAGATGGTGAGGGATAGATGGGAGTATCCATCATCATTCCATAGCTATAACACTCTAAACGACAACAGAACACCACTCATTTCAGAAAGATCTGAACAGAAAGATGGGTTAAACTGATCAACTGAAGTGCATGATAGCTTTTTGGCCAAGGTAATTCAAGGTCTGTGTGCATCATACTATAACGTTAATTAAGAAAAATCATATGTTTATGACTTAATTGGCAAAAGATGACTCAGTCAAACAAACCTTGGCACTGGTTGCACACATACTGTAGCTTTTTTTTGGGGGGGGGGGGGACATCAATATATACCAATATGCTGCATAAAATTTAATTAACCATTTTTACAGGGAAGATAGATAGGCATTCAATAGGAATGAAGGTGATCTACTTAAGAACAGCTGCACAGAAAGTGATTTCTTTGTTTCCTATGGCCAGTAATTTATCTGAGATGGATTCAGATACAGCTGCTGAGCCCATACAGCTTCTCTAACTTTGAATACATCCCAATCTGACTGAGAATGTAAGCCCAGCTCATAGAACAGTTCATTAGCTTCTTACCCCAAAGGCTTTTCCAGATGACTGCCTGGTGAACCCACTATCTCACCCAGAGTGCAGAAGGTCTGACCCAGGAAGTCCTACAGAAGGGTAGCCAAGACAAAAAGAAGGCCCAGAGGAGTGGGATAGGCACACAGGCAGTAAAGAAGAGAGAGCAGAATGAGTCAGGGTGGTTCTGGGTATAAATGAGTTGTACAGGTAAAGAGAAAAGTCTAGGAGTGCAAGGCAGAGACGTACGTTGAATTCGGAGGGCTTCCAGTAGGGAGGTAAGGCCGCAAATATAACAATAACAACAGAGCATATCATGTAACCGAAAAGACAAAAAAAAAACACAAACGAATTGAAGAAGTCAGGCCAAAGAGGATAGAAGAGAAAAAACGAGAGTTAGAGAATGAGAAAGAATCTTGGAGAAAAGAGAAAGGGAAAAACACCCACGATGATCACTGATTACAACAGAAAGCGAGAAAAACAAATCATAAGTCTGAATTTCATTGAAAAATAACAAAACATTTGGGTGGTTCTATACAAAATCACAATTTAATAATTTGCCCCTACTGAGAGTTGTTTATTTTCACACTGTCTGCATTGTTTTTGTACCTGTTTTATTGTACATATTTATGCAAATCAAGTAATTATGCAATTATTTTATAATACTTATATAGCTTTTATGTACTAGAAGGCATGACAAAGCGGATATCGTCCTCTTTTGGAAGACCAAACAAAGAAGATGAAGAAATTATGTATATAATTATAATCATGCCAAGAAAATAGTTTTGCATAGAATTTGCATAGAAATAAATATGACTTTGCTAAAGAGAATGACCATTTTTTTACACTGAAAAAGTGGTGCAGGTGTTTAGTGAAAATATTTCTCAATATCTTGTCACTATATATTTTTAGCTTGCCTTTTATCAGTTTAAAGGGGTCATATGATGCAATTTAATTTTTTCCTTTCTTTTTGTTACAAGCTCTTGGTGCATAAAGAAGATCTGTAAATTTGCAAAGACTAAAGTCTCAAATCCAAAGAGATATTCTTTATAAAAGTTAAGAGCTGTTCTGTGCTGGTTGCTGAGGGAATACATCAACTTAGTGCTGTGGATCGCCGGCACATTTTATGGAGGACTGTTTACTGATCCTTGGAGAGTAAGGTTAGACTAAAATGCCGGCAGTTCTGATTCACGTAAGTACGTATTCTTTTATAATTTTTCCACTGATGATTCAAACGCGAGTTTTGGGCAGTGTGGAGTAGCACTTGTTGTTTGTCATTTCTCTGATCACAAATGCAGACAGGGTTTTAGGTTTACGCGGCACGATGCAATGCAACGCAACGCGTAAAAAGACAGTATAAGTCATTATAATCAGTAATTATGTCCCCACTGGATGCAACAAATGCCTTGTTTGTAATGGGTTTTAATGTTTTTGTGTCATCGCTCCGGCTGGGACACGCCATCACAGTATGGTGAGGGGCGTAACATTTCCGTCTCACGCTTGAGGTATTCAGCCAATCACAACGCACTGGATAGCTGGCCAATCACAGCACACCTCGCTTTTTCAGACCGATGAGCTTTGTAAAAATCGACACGTTTCAGAAAGGAGGGGCATAGAGGAGAAACCATAATGTACAGTATGTGGAAAATAATGTGTTTTTTAACTTTAAACCGCATAAACACATTTCATTACACCAAATACACAAAATAATGTTATTTTTAACAGCATCATATGACCCCTTAACAGGTAACAAATGGTCTGTATTTCCCATTTTAAGCGCACTGTAGAATACATTCAGAACCTGTTTTCTTGTACTATTATAAGTCAAAGAGAGATTTTAATCTCACCTCTTCTTCAGTTTTGCACAGCTTTGATAACGATACAAAATATGACATCAGTTTCAATCATTTTAGATTGCATAAAACCAACCGAAGAATGAAGATCATGCATATCAAAATATGAGTGTAATCGCCAATGAACACAAAGAACTTTCATATACACCCAAGCAAACACACATGCACATACATACAAAAAGCATATACAAAGTGTTTCCATATACTCACGTGTTTGGCTAGATCAGGACTTTTGGAGTCAATGTCATATCTGAAATCCAAAGAACAGCTTCAGTCGGGATTGTTAGATGATGGCATATCCCATTTTCTCTTGGGTGACAATAACAGCTTCATTTTATGTGTTATGAAAAGGAATGTTCAACCATCCTCACATTATTTGATCTGGGATTCCTATGAACTAAGTCATCCATAAAGCTAATATTTTGATTTCTTGTAGAGAACATTTCTTAAAGTCAGCATGAAATAAAAATTTCCCCTATTCACATCTATCACATCTTCTAAATGCATGTCATAGATATTGAGAACAATTCATCTGTGAATGTTTCTTTTCTTTTTTGTAAAAATTACCCCGTAATATTTAATGAAAATGTCATAATGATAATATGTTACTCTCGGATGTACGTCACAATAACAGAAGAAAAGTTCATTGTGACTTTAACAATCAAAACATCTGGCTGCCATGATAATTCTGTCCAAACAATAGAAGATACTGTAATTTTTTCAATTTAACTTCGCTACTAGTAAAAAAAATTACAGATCATCAATATCAGATCATCCTTAGTCTGCATTTAAATTCTTGATGCTGTTAAAATTTGAGTGGAAGTGCTGTTCTGAGGCACAGCTGATTGGCGCTGTGAATATTTGCATTGGTTTAAGCAGGAATTGGCATAAACGTGGAAGGTTTCTCACTGACAGCACTCTGAACTCTCCAATTAAGTCCAGCCTGCAGTGCAGCACGCCGTTTTCAACTCAGCAGAGCCCATTTAAGAAGGTGAATAAGAGTGAGATGGAGTCGGGTGCGGGAAGGGAAGAGCATGTTGTAAATCATCTGGGATCCCGCATCACACATTTGGGTTTGAACTGCTGCGTGAAGATTGGGGATAAAACTCATCTGAAATATTTATCACCCTTTCACTGATCCAGCCCCTTAAACATGACAGTCAAGAGAGATGCAGCATCAATAATTACCAAGGAGGACGCACTGGGAGAGAGGGAGACAAATGGAGCGAGAGCAGAAAGACCGGAGTGGGACAGCTCATCGGAGAGCGAGGCAGATTCCTGTGTGTCAGCATCAAAGGGAATAACTCACATGTCAAAGCGCAGATTCTGCTTCTCCTCGAAGAAATAGTCCAGGATGTACTTTCTCACAAAGTCTGGGTTCAGAGTGTTGTCGATGACTTCAGTTCTCCCAGACTACACAAAAAGAGAGAGAACAACTACATGGGGATGAAAAAGTTGGCACCGTGCGGCCACAGACAAATCTACATATCTGTTCAGTCCATTAACTGCCCTGTTCCTGTGACTCTGCAGCCTTAGAAAAAACTAGGATAGCAAGAGGTGATATTTTGAGAAGTGAAGTATCTATTCTACTAATGAACAACAGGAACACCTGCCTAGAATTAGTAACGTGTACGTATATGTGACAAATTTGTGTGTGTGTGTGTGAGTGTTTGAATGCAAATGAAATAGGGCTGCACGATAAATCGCATGCGATATATCATGCAAGATAAGATGCGCATTAAATATCGCATGCGATTTATCATGCAGCCCTAAAATGAAGTAATAAATATTCAGGCATATTCATGTCACTTTAATGGCAGTCTATTCATCCACCAGAACACATGCAATACTGTAAACAACTGTGATTTCTATGTTACAGTAATGTACAAATAACAGTTTGGCTCCAGCTTTCTGTGCTATATCTAAATGACTGTATAACCATAAACATTGACATTTCAACACATTCCTTGTGTAACATCCTCTAGAAATGCAAAAAGCCTTCGATTCACTAATGATAAAAGCTCCTCTTCATCTTCTACTGTCTCTGTAAGGATGTCTGCCTTGTTGGTTTTATGTAAGAAACGTAAATCAGAGTTTGGAATTAGAGATGGTGGGTGAACGTTTTAAGATCTTCAGCAAGTGGACAGGAAAAGGAAGATGGAAAAGGAAACAAGGATAGAAGGAAGGAAAGAAGGAAATTAAATTGTTTAAGTAAAAGAAGAAAGGAAAGGAAAGGAAAGGAAAGGAAAACGCTAATATACGATACAATACGATAGGCTACTATTGGAGCGGAGAGGAGAGGAGAGGAGAGGAGAGGAGAGGAGACTGTCATCTTTCACTGTATTCTTGAAGGATGCTCTGCGGTCGGTTCCCTCAGCTAATTGTGTTTACCATGAATAATTAAACAAGATGAGGCAGATGAGAAATGCATAAATAAATGAATCACCAGAAGGATGTTACAACACCCTGGCCGTGCAGAAATGAAGGAGATGGCTTATGAGTGATAAAGGAACGATAAGGTGATTTAAACATACTGTAAAGGCCATCCCACAGTGCTCTTGTTAATGATAAAGAGACAATATATCACCACAGACTGATTTGCAAACAGTCAGTCAGTGTAACATATGGTTACAGCCTGAGGCATGTCTGTCTGATGTTCTCAGCTGTAGTGTGGAGACGCATAAACTTTCATATTAAAAGACAATTTCCGAATCACGTAGCCTACAACCACAAATAACACTCTTAAATCTGTAAAAATTAGGATGAATTTATATTTTAGTGCCATAAACATTGATAATTGCAAAGGCTAAGAATGACTGAACATTCTCAAGCAAAGCTCTGTGACAGAAGAGCACAGAGTCATTAGGATTCATAACATAATGCTTTAAGCATCAATATATACCAATATGCTGCATAAAATTTAATTAACCATTTTTACAGGGAAGATAGATAGGCATTCAATAGGAATGAAGGTGATCTACTTAAGAACAGCTGCACAGAAAGTGATTTCTTTGTTTCCTATGGCCAGTAATTTATCTGAGATGGATTCAGATACAGCTGCTGAGCCCATACAGCTTCTCTAACTTTGAATACATCCCAATCTGACTGAGAATGTAAGCCCAGCTCATAGAACAGTTCATTAGCTTCTTACCCCAAAGGCTTTTCCAGATGACTGCCTGGTGAACCCACTATCTCACCCAGAGTGCAGAAGGTCTGACCCAGGAAGTCCTACAGAAGGGTAGCCAAGACAAAAAGAAGGCCCAGAGGAGTGGGATAGGCACACAGGCAGTAAAGAAGAGAGAGCAGAATGAGTCAGGGTGGTTCTGGGTATAAATGAGTTGTACAGGTAAAGAGAAAAGTCTAGGAGTGCAAGGCAGAGACGTACGTTGAATTCGGAGGGCTTCCAGTAGGGAGGTAAGGCCGCAAATATAACAATAACAACAGAGCATATCATGTAACCGAAAAGACAAAAAAAAAACACAAACGAATTGAAGAAGTCAGGCCAAAGAGGATAGAAGAGAAAAAACGAGAGTTAGAGAATGAGAAAGAATCTTGGAGAAAAGAGAAAGGGAAAAACACCCACGATGATCACTGATTACAACAGAAAGCGAGAAAAACAAATCATAAGTCTGAATTTCATTGAAAAATAACAAAACATTTGGGTGGTTCTATACAAAATCACAATTTAATAATTTGCCCCTACTGAGAGTTGTTTATTTTCACACTGTCTGCATTGTTTTTGTACCTGTTTTATTGTACATATTTATGCAAATCAAGTAATTATGCAATTATTTTATAATACTTATATAGCTTTTATGTACTAGAAGGCATGACAAAGCGGATATCGTCCTCTTTTGGAAGACCAAACAAAGAAGATGAAGAAATTATGTATATAATTATAATCATGCCAAGAAAATAGTTTTGCATAGAATTTGCATAGAAATAAATATGACTTTGCTAAAGAGAATGACCATTTTTTTACACTGAAAAAGTGGTGCAGGTGTTTAGTGAAAATATTTCTCAATATCTTGTCACTATATATTTTTAGCTTGCCTTTTATCAGTTTAAAGGGGTCATATGATGCAATTTAATTTTTTCCTTTCTTTTTGTTACAAGCTCTTGGTGCATAAAGAAGATCTGTAAATTTGCAAAGACTAAAGTCTCAAATCCAAAGAGATATTCTTTATAAAAGTTAAGAGCTGATCTGTGCTGGTTGCTGAGGGAATACATCAACTTAGTGCTGTGGATCGCCGGCACATTTTATGGAGGACTGTTTACTGATCCTTGGAGAGTAAGGTTAGACTAAAATGCCGGCAGTTCTGATTCACGTAAGTACGTATTCTTTTATAATTTTTCCACTGATGATTCAAACGCGAGTTTTGGGCAGTGTGGAGTAGCACTTGTTGTTTGTCATTTCTCTGATCACAAATGCAGACAGGGTTTTAGGTTTACGCGGCACGATGCAATGCAACGCAACGCGTAAAAAGACAGTATAAGTCATTATAATCAGTAATTATGTCCCCACTGGATGCAACAAATGCCTTGTTTGTAATGGGTTTTAATGTTTTTGTGTCATCGCTCCGGCTGGGACACGCCATCACAGTATGGTGAGGGGCGTAACATTTCCGTCTCACGCTTGAGGTATTCAGCCAATCACAACGCACTGGATAGCTGGCCAATCACAGCACACCTCGCTTTTTCAGACCGATGAGCTTTGTAAAAATCGACACGTTTCAGAAAGGAGGGGCATAGAGGAGAAACAATAATGTACAGTATGTGGAAAATAATGTGTTTTTTAACTTTAAACCGCATAAACACATTTCATTACACCAAATACACAAAATAATGTTATTTTTAACAGCATCATATGACCCCTTAACAGGTAACAAATGGTCTGTATTTCCCATTTTAAGCGCACTGTAGAATACATTCAGAACCTGTTTTCTTGTACTATTATAAGTCAAAGAGAGATTTTAATCTCACCTCTTCTTCAGTTTTGCACAGCTTTGATAACGATACAAAATATGACATCAGTTTCAATCATTTTAGATTGCATAAAACCAACCGAAGAATGAAGATCATGCATATCAAAATATGAGTGTAATCGCCAATGAACACAAAGAACTTTCATATACACCCAAGCAAACACACATGCACATACATACAAAAAGCATATACAAAGTGTTTCCATATACTCACGTGTTTGGCTAGATCAGGACTTTTGGAGTCAATGTCATATCTGAAATCCAAAGAACAGCTTCAGTCGGGATTGTTAGATGATGGCATATCCCATTTTCTCTTGGGTGACAATAACAGCTTCATTTTATGTGTTATGAAAAGGAATGTTCAACCATCCTCACATTATTTGATCTGGGATTCCTATGAACTAAGTCATCCATAAAGCTAATATTTTGATTTCTTGTAGAGAACATTTCTTAAAGTCAGCATGAAATAAAAATTTCCCCTATTCACATCTATCACATCTTCTAAATGCATGTCATAGATATTGAGAACAATTCATCTGTGAATGTTTCTTTTCTTTTTTGTAAAAATTACCCCGTAATATTTAATGAAAATGTCATAATGATAATATGTTACTCTCGGATGTACGTCACAATAACAGAAGAAAAGTTCATTGTGACTTTAACAATCAAAACATCTGGCTGCCATGATAATTCTGTCCAAACAATAGAAGATACTGTAATTTTTTCAATTTAACTTCGCTACTAGTAAAAAAAATTACAGATCATCAATATCAGATCATCCTTAGTCTGCATTTAAATTCTTGATGCTGTTAAAATTTGAGTGGAAGTGCTGTTCTGAGGCACAGCTGATTGGCGCTGTGAATATTTGCATTGGTTTAAGCAGGAATTGGCATAAACGTGGAAGGTTTCTCACTGACAGCACTCTGAACTCTCCAATTAAGTCCAGCCTGCAGTGCAGCACGCCGTTTTCAACTCAGCAGAGCCCATTTAAGAAGGTGAATAAGAGTGAGATGGAGTCGGGTGCGGGAAGGGAAGAGCATGTTGTAAATCATCTGGGATCCCGCATCACACATTTGGGTTTGAACTGCTGCGTGAAGATTGGGGATAAAACTCATCTGAAATATTTATCACCCTTTCACTGATCCAGCCCCTTAAACATGACAGTCAAGAGAGATGCAGCATCAATAATTACCAAGGAGGACGCACTGGGAGAGAGGGAGACAAATGGAGCGAGAGCAGAAAGACCGGAGTGGGACAGCTCATCGGAGAGCGAGGCAGATTCCTGTGTGTCAGCATCAAAGGGAATAACTCACATGTCAAAGCGCAGATTCTGCTTCTCCTCGAAGAAATAGTCCAGGATGTACTTTCTCACAAAGTCTGGGTTCAGAGTGTTGTCGATGACTTCAGTTCTCCCAGACTACACAAAAAGAGAGAGAACAACTACATGGGGATGAAAAAGTTGGCACCGTGCGGCCACAGACAAATCTACATATCTGTTCAGTCCATTAACTGCCCTGTTCCTGTGACTCTGCAGCCTTAGAAAAAACTAGGATAGCAAGAGGTGATATTTTGAGAAGTGAAGTATCTATTCTACTAATGAACAACAGGAACACCTGCCTAGAATTAGTAACGTGTACGTATATGTGACAAATTTGTGTGTGTGTGTGTGAGTGTTTGAATGCAAATGAAATAGGGCTGCACGATAAATCGCATGCGATATATCATGCAAGATAAGATGCGCATTAAATATCGCATGCGATTTATCATGCAGCCCTAAAATGAAGTAATAAATATTCAGGCATATTCATGTCACTTTAATGGCAGTCTATTCATCCACCAGAACACATGCAATACTGTAAACAACTGTGATTTCTATGTTACAGTAATGTACAAATAACAGTTTGGCTCCAGCTTTCTGTGCTATATCTAAATGACTGTATAACCATAAACATTGACATTTCAACACATTCCTTGTGTAACATCCTCTAGAAATGCAAAAAGCCTTCGATTCACTAATGATAAAAGCTCCTCTTCATCTTCTACTGTCTCTGTAAGGATGTCTGCCTTGTTGGTTTTATGTAAGAAACGTAAATCAGAGTTTGGAATTAGAGATGGTGGGTGAACGTTTTAAGATCTTCAGCAAGTGGACAGGAAAAGGAAGATGGAAAAGGAAACAAGGATAGAAGGAAGGAAAGAAGGAAATTAAATTGTTTAAGTAAAAGAAGAAAGGAAAGGAAAGGAAAGGAAAGGAAAACGCTAATATACGATACAATACGATAGGCTACTATTGGAGAGGAGAGGAGAGGAGAGGAGAGGAGAGGAGAGGAGACTGTCATCTTTCACTGTATTCTTGAAGGATGCTCTGCGGTCGGTTCCCTCAGCTAATTGTGTTTACCATGAATAATTAAACAAGATGAGGCAGATGAGAAATGCATAAATAAATGAATCACCAGAAGGATGTTACAACACCCTGGCCGTGCAGAAATGAAGGAGATGGCTTATGAGTGATAAAGGAACGATAAGGTGATTTAAACATACTGTAAAGGCCATCCCACAGTGCTCTTGTTAATGATAAAGAGACAATATATCACCACAGACTGATTTGCAAACAGTCAGTCAGTGTAACATATGGTTACAGCCTGAGGCATGTCTGTCTGATGTTCTCAGCTGTAGTGTGGAGACGCATAAACTTTCATATTAAAAGACAATTTCCGAATCACGTAGCCTACAACCACAAATAACACTCTTAAATCTGTAAAAATTAGGATGAATTTATATTTTAGTGCCATAAACATTGATAATTGCAAAGGCTAAGAATGACTGAACATTCTCAAGCAAAGCTCTGTGACAGAAGAGCACAGAGTCATTAGGATTCATAACATAATGCTTTAAGTACTGCTAATACGACCTCACAGTCTGACTTTACATCTGCTATAAATCATTCTGTTGACCTGCTGCTGTATATAAAGCCTTTTATGGTTTGTCATATATGGTGCATTATTCTGTAAGTATTGCACTGGTTTCCAACCCTTTTGTCAAAACTGCCTTTGGACAGAAATCCCATCGGAGAGAGGAGATGCAAAGAAAAACATTTAACTTAAATCACCAAACTGCTTTAAAAAAAGCTTTACCTCCCGTGAAGTGTTAAAGAGGCAGTCAAGGCAGAGTGAAAAAACCTGTTGTTCAGACTACAGCTGTGCAAAACAAACCCAATGGGAGCATTAACACAAGGTCACATTCAGAAAAGAAGAGAAGGATAAAACACACCATAGCAATAGCAGTGATGAGGACAAGAGTGTGAAATCCCAACAGGTGCATAAATAAAGTTTAACAGAATTATGATGCACAGAACAGGAAAAAATGATCTTGTGCAAAATAGGATAAACAAATCAATGACTTTGATTGAAAAATGACTTGAATTGAAACTGACTGCGATTAAAAACTGTTCAAGATCTAAGTGAAAATAATTATTATGTGTTTTGACTCTCAATAGTCACTAATACTACAACGGGGGAAAAACTTACTTTCTCAAGTCACTGATATACTCCTCCGTCGCGTCCACCGGGCGGCGGAGGAGTGTCGGGCCGTCCACGGAGGGCTATCCAGTGCCGCATATCATTCATGTTTAACACCATATTCAACTTCATAAAATTATGTCATTTACTCATGTCATGAATATGAAGGAGGTTTTATGCATGTTTGTGACAACTCTCATAATGTCATTCGCTCAGTTACGTCATTTTTTATGCAAATATGACATTATTTGACCTAACTTAACCCTACCCTTACCCCTAACCATAGCCCATAACAAAGACATCTCAAACAATGTCATCTTTGCATTAAAAATTACATAACTGAGTGAATGACACTTAATGACAGTTGTCATAAACTTGCATAAAAAACCTTCATATTCATGACATGTGTCATGATTATGAAGGTGTCATGTCAGTCTTATGCACACCCCTTCAAGTAAAGTGTAACCAAACAATTTTGGGGTACTACTGACTTCCACTGTAAAACATTGAGACATTTCTCAAAATATCCTCTTTCATGTTCCACAGAAGAAAGCAAGTCATACAGGTTTTTGGAACAACATGAAGGGTAAATTATGTAAATAAAGATTTGATTTTATTGTTTTTGATTTTTTATTTTATTTATATATATACTGTATATAAATGCATTTTTTTATTTTTATGCTGAACTATCCATCTAAAGAACTATACCTGACCTACCCAAAAAAAAATACAGTTTAGATCAAACAAAGCATTAAGCTACTCTAGACTGTTACAGCAACTTTACTGTACATTTAAGAGAACACTCTTATCCATAGTGAGATCACTTTAATGCATAAAATTCAGTGGTTAGTTGCTTATTAATGTGTAAACAATTAAATGTAGAAAAAATATAATAAAAAACAAAGAATGTAAGATACAGTAGCCAAATCATGGACACAATCACTCAAAATAAGGCGCTTATGCTGTGTTAGTAACAAAGAGATACACACATACTCCCAAATCTCCTGCTGAGACAGAAAATGCACAAAGGAAACTCCATCTTTATCAATCCCTTACAGCTTGACTGCCTCTTTTCCACAGCGGTTGGTATTATACCCAAACAAGAGGCATCTTACATGGGCACAGGCATAGAGAAAGAGTCTACATAACTAACTGGAGTGAGCAACCTGCTCAGTGTTATGTAAGCTGTCGTCTTTTATTTTTGGAGAAAGGTGTTTCATCAAAACCATCTGCGAAGAAGGAAGATCGACACCAGTATGGTTTTATTTTGGGTCAAAAAGTTGTTACATCTCCTCATGCGCACATCCTGACATTTTAACTGTTTTGATGCATTCATGTTGGCCTTGAGAACACCTGCTAGAACAACTGTCACCCGCTAATAAGGGATTCAATTAAAAGGGTCTGAAACACAAACCAAGACTTGCAAAAGAGAACCGCAATGCGATTTTTCATAATGAAGGTCTTTTTTGCTAGCCCAGTGATGGATATGATAGCCCGAGGATGTCCGATAATCAGCTGATTGCAATGACCTGGCAAATCCAAGGGCTGCGTCTTTTAAGTGTGAAAAATCACATTCAGTGAGCTGGGAAGCATTACAAATACACTGGCCTGTAACTTTAGAGCCAGATCGACTTTAATGCTAATCGCTAACGGAAAGTGCACAATCATCTCAACAGTCAATCATTCTGGGCCATGGGGACTGATTCATGAATATTCAACAGGAGAATAAATGAGCAGTGATGGGCACCAGAGGGCTGCGGAGAGAGTGAAGGGGGCGGAGAGACAGAGAGGATATGCTGAGCTGATTAGGGCAAATGAGGGAGTCTCTGTCAGAGCTGATTGTAGGTTTGTTCCCGAACGTGGACACTTACCTCACGCCACTGCTTAGACTCCACTCCCTGAGTGTACAGAACACACACTGAGAAGATGAGAGAGAGAGAAATCAGCCTCTATTTCATTTTTAAGAAAAAGCTTTTATGTTGCAGTTACTGTAGATGCATCTCTGAAGAAAGGCTGAACAATGAGATGCTAGCAATGAAGCTAAGTAGAAATGAAATGGTGAATTAATGGAGTTTCCTGTTTACATTTTTCTCCTGTGAAATAGACTTTATAATTTCCAAGAATTTATGTCTAGAATTTTGGAAGGAATCACAATATTTCTCATTAAATTCTTCCAAAGCCAAATTATTTGGCTTTTACAATATTTTTTAATTATTTTAAACAATTCAGGGCTGCAACAAATGATTATTTTGATAATTAATAATCTAATAATTAATCGACTAATCGTTGATTATTTCACTGATTAATCAGTAGACTTTGATTGATTCAGTTTTAGGCTTTGATTCATTCAGCTTTTGCAATTAGTTAAAATATTGAGTTAACTAATAATAAAACAAGGCGATCACTTCAGCTTTTGAAAATGTCAAACAATTACATTACTATTATACAATTATTTTTGACCATATAAATAAATATATTTGGCACACAAAATGGAATGACAGACAGAAAGACATTCTCATTCACCATTAAAATTAACTGACTGACACATCATTTTGCCCAACATCTTTTGTTAGTCTGTAGATATGGAACAAAATAAAGATAAGTGATAACACTATTTATTTTTGGGAGAACTATTTTATTCACAACATTATCTCTTTAAAAAACTTATTTTTAATACCTTGCATTCACCATTAAAAAGATTACACATTACCTAGCTTCACACTGGAGAGCTGCTTCATAAGTCAATTTCCACAGTAATTCTAACTGAAAGCGACACTGACACTTCAGTACTGTAAAGCTGCTTGAATAAAGCATTTTATACATCATTATGATAAGATGCTTTCTTAACTGCTGTTTTCTCTCCGCTGTAATTTTTGTTGTGTTTATTTTGTTATTGTGAGGGAAGTGCAGCACATATTTACATATTCATCTAAAAGCCACTCTCAGCAGTGCGGGCAGCATCAGGATGTTCGCTAACAGTAAAGCACTGCTTGCGTATATCAAACTTCTTTTTACCCCTAAACGAATAATGGAAAAGAACTTTGCTGTGAGTATTTCTGAGCCAAAAGTTCATACTTGCTTTAGGATTCACCACAAGTTTAAAGTGTCAATATGGTCCGTGAATCAGGGTATCTTCCGTCCAATCAATTTTTGTTTTAATATTGAAATCTGAAAAATGAAAAACGGCACATATTTCGTTTTTCAATTATTCAAACAAAACGAAAAATCAAGAATCCGGCTTAATTTTTCGTTTTTACATTCAGGGATAGAAAACGAATTTTAAACAATTCAGGGCTGCAACAAATGATTATTTTGATAATTAATAATCTAATAATTAATCGACTAATCGTTGATTATTTCACTGATTAATCAGTAGACTTTGATTGATTCAGTTTTAGGCTTTGATTCATTCAGCTTTTGCAATTAGTTAAAATATTGAGTTAACTAATAATAAAACAAGGCGATCACTTCAGCTTTTGAAAATGTCAAACAATTACATTACTATTATACAATTATTTTTGACCATATAAATAAATATATTTGGCACACAAAATGGAATGACAGACAGAAAGACATTCTCATTCACCATTAAAATTAACTGACTGACACATCATTTTGCCCAAAATCTTTTGTTAGTCTGTAGATATGGAACAAAATAAAGATAAGTGATAACACTATTTATTTTTGGGAGAACTATTTTATTCACAACATTATCTCTTTAAAAAACTTATTTTTAATACCTTGCATTCACCATTAAAAAGATTACACATTACCTAGCTTCACACTGGAGAGCTGCTTCATAAGTCAATTTCCACAGTAATTCTAACTGAAAGCGACACTGACACTTCAGTACTGTAAAGCTGCTTGAATAAAGCATTTTATACATCATTATGATAAGATGCTTTCTTAACTGCTGTTTTCTCTCCGCTGTAATTTTTGTTGTGTTTATTTTGTTATTGTGAGGGAAGTGCAGCACATATTTACATATTCATCTAAAAGCCACTCTCAGCAGTGCGGGCAGCATCAGGATGTTCGCTAACAGTAAAGCACTGCTTGCGTATATCAAACTTCTTTTTACCCCTAAACGAATAATGGAAAAGAACTTTGCTGTGAGTATTTCTGAGCCAAAAGTTCATACTTGCTTTAGGATTCACTACAAGTTTAAAGTGTCAATATGGTCCGTGAATCAGGGTATCTTCCGTCCAATCAATTTTTGTTTTAATATTGAAATCTGAAAAATGAAAAACGGCACATATTTCGTTTTTCAATTATTCAAACAAAACGAAAAATCAAGAATCCGGCTTAATTTTTCGTTTTTACATTCAGGGATAGAAAACGAACAAACAACTTGAATATTCGATCTCTACATGTGGGCGGGAATGGAACGCCCCTCTCTGCTAATTGGTCAACCAAACATTGCAACATAATAATAGTCCTAAAAAAAACCTTAATAATAGTCATCCGCTTCTATTGATTCTTAACATTTTTATTTCTACTACATTTTATCTCTTCATCAAACAGCCAGATTAATGAATGGCTTGACACAAACCATACTGAAGCAGAGCCTTTTGGCCCTAGGCATGCCTGTTTTATTATAGTTATCCACCTATCAAAATCTGTGTGGAAAAGCTGCGCGACGCACTGCAGCACTGGGACGGTCCAACCGGGAGCGCAAAACAGAGAAGTGGAAAATCAGAATAATGAGTCATTTTTTATGTTAGTTCAAAAATGTGATTCGGGCGCAACAACCCAAACTCGTAAAATTGAAAATTAAAACGAGAGACAATTTTCCGTTTGCAAATTGCTCCAAAGAAATTGAAAATGAAAGTTTGAAGCCAACTTTTCATTTGGTTCATTTTGATGGTGCGAATTGAACAAAGAACTGCAAAGGGTTACACGGACCCAATATCTACCAACTAGGTTTTTAATGGGTCAAGGGAATATAAAAATGTTTGAAAGGAAAATAAAAAGGTTCATTCGAAAGTTATTAGTTTTACACATACAACCCCAAGTGAAAAATAAATATACTAAAATGTATTTGAAATATATTTATTTTATGCTAAGTATACTACAAATACATTTACATATTTAAGTACATAGTAAAAAATACCCTGTAATTGTACTTTTAGTATACTAAACTGGTATAATTACAGTCTGCTAAATTGGAACAACTCATTTTGTATTTAATGCACTTTAATTGTGTGGAAATAGTGCTGAAGTCAAACTAAAGGTATACTGAAGTATATTTGATTGTGCTAAAGGGGAACTATTGCAAGTATACTTCGGGTACAATTTAAATATCTTGCATTTAAAGACCAATATTATTAGATGATCATATAATCTTTATTAATAGCGGTATTAAAACGCATTTTAGGCTTAATAAGAAATATTAAGAAATAATATTAAGTAGCTCTCCAAATTAAGTTTAAATATAATTTTTATATCAGTAATTCTCGAGCGATTTGAACTATACTTAGTATGAAACAAATGTATTTTAAATATATTACTTTTTTTTACTAGGGATTGTGGAGCATGAGGGTTAAATGAAGATTAACAGAATTCTAAGAATTTAATAATGTTAAACATTAAGTTTCCTTGATGAAAGAGCAATGTCTAAGCAATAAATATTCTTCTTGCAAAGATTAGAATTGCAAAGGTGGCCAGACTATTTGACCCATTGCTCTCTATTTCATAATCTTGTCTTCAGCAAGAGATTTACTGTACACAGGTCTGAATGTCCCCATGACTCATGAAGCATTTGTATTCAGGGGGCCAAGCTCATGCTCTGCATATATTAAGCACTTCTGCATTTCTGTTGATAGTGAGGAAAAGCTGTCACATTGTGATGCAAATTCTATGCATGTGTTTTAGGCAACTTGGAGAAATAGCAGAATAGACAAATTGCAGGAAAAGTTTTTGAATGTGTGTAAAAAAAGAGATATTAATGAGATTTTAGGTTAAAAAACAAGTGCTTCAGTTATGTAAAAAGAGAAGTACTTACAAGGATCAGACTTGGAGAACGTGTCTCGATCTAGCAGGTTTCTGTGGAAACAGGAAGAAAAAAACAGTCAATTAAGGGCTAATAAACTAGGTCACTTCGGTCAAACATTTCAGGCATAAAATCATACAAAAGCCTCACAAATAAAACTAATGGAGCTCTCATTTACATGTTATTTCAGAAACCATCCATTCCCTTCCATTAGCAGCAACCAAAGCATCTCTTGACATAAAATATTTTCTCTGTGTGTTTTTGGACCTTGGTTTTTATAGAAGTCTTGTGGTTGGGCCTTTCTAGCAGAATAGATTCCAGGTAGGGGTCCATCATGAATGGAAAATTTAGTCTGATCATCTCCAATGTCTCCTTGATTAATGAACCTGGGTTCAAAAGTGAGTTGAAATGACAGATTCTCAGTGCGCCGCTGTGATTTCATTTAGCTGCCCATTAAAAACTACTGAATTAAACAGACTGCTAAATGACAAATCATGATTCAAAACATGAAGACACAATCTTTACATTTGTTATAACATAAAAATCATGCCAAAATATGTTCAAACTGTATCTTTCGCAGAGTTTAACAGTTCTGCATCCTATTCAGCTCTTGGAATCTATTTAATTGTCATGAACTGGATTGTTTAATCACAGCAGATTGAATCAGAGAGTGATTCTGGCATGCAGGTTCAATAAACTCTCTTAGAGTCTGAAATCACTATAAACAGATCATTGAACACCTAGAAAATTGAGACAGTCTCATAAAAACAATAAAAAAAAACTTTGATTTGATTCGACAGGCTTGAAAAATATCTAATTTCTGTCACAATATCAATGTCAGAGACAGTGGCTTTTAATTACATTTTATGTGTGGTTTGTATATTGTATATTTGAAAATGCAGAAACTGTGTTCTCTAACACAGATAAGTGTCAGCTACACATTGTTAATGCGTGCTGTTGTATCAAACCTCCAGACACAGGCAGAAAAAAACACTGTCACTTCTCCTATTAAACATTCCTGCAATTGAAAACATTTTAAATTAGCCTGTCAATCCTTCACCAGTGGAATATAGAGCCTTGAGAACCCCAAAACAAAAAAGTTCATATGTAGGGATAGAACCTGCTGATGTTAATGTGAAAAGCAAAAATACAACTGCACTGAAGCAGTGTTTTATAAAAATAATTTACTTGATGCCATGTGAATTGTTGTTTTATTTTTTCTGTTCTGTCTATATTCTTAAAAAGGCCTGTAATGAATTACACAGACATTAGAAATGTAGCAAAGCTGAAAATGTGCGGTACTAAGAGCGAATCAACAAGGTTCTATGATTAGTGACCTACTGTTAAAACTGTTGAAATAAAGGCTTCTGAAGAGCCATTATACTATTTTGCAGAAATGGGCTTAACTGTCTGAACGTATAGAGGCTCTGACAGATCTGTGATGTTCAAACACAGACCGTACATTCAAATTAACTCCTTTGGGCTTTGAGGCATGACTACATCTTAAAAGGAATCCTAGAACACTGCAGTTTAAATGTGAGAAGTTTGTAAGAAAGGTTTAAATGTACCCTTAAAAGACAGGATATTAATCATACATTTACACATAAATCATTACTCAATGCTTTGCTTGTCATGATTTCTTTCTGAGGTCTACATATACATGTCAGTAAAGCTACTAAAGAGATTAAATATGTGTGTGTGTGTGTGTGTGTGTGTGTGTGTGTGTGTGTGTGTGTGTGTGTGTGTGTGTGTGTGTGTGTGTGTGTGTGTGTGTGT